TGGGAGTCTGAATTCCATGAAAGTGCCTTAAAAGACATTAGAGCCTTTTGCCTCAGGCATTATCTCCGACTGATGACTTCCTCCTTGACCCATGGGGGTCACTTTAGTTAAACTTCCACTGTGGTATGCATGTGCACAATGTAACTCCTGCCATAATCCCTGGTAATCCAGTGATTTGCAAAAGGAGTGAGCATTCGGAGAACACTAAGATTAAGTGGTTGGGTACCATTTGCCCCAATTTAAATTGCATTGGATGACATGTTGAGATGATGGATGGATGACCAATTTTATTATCATAAGCAGGCCAAGCTAGCATTAGAGCAGTGTGTGAGAGATGACAGGACACCACTCCTGTCTAGTGTTTGCTTCCAGAATGCAACCTATTACATTAACATTGCATGTCTGCAGAGCCTTCAGTACATCACCTCTGACCAGATATGGATTAACAAAGTCAGAGCCCTGCCTCTCTTCTACCTTGTTTAGCAGTTATAATTTCTGATTTAGGTAATTTACAGTGGTTGTCTGCACCCAAGTATTCTTCAGTAATTCAAACGGTAGATTATAAAAACATTAGAAGGACATTTCCAGGTCACTCTATAACTATACAAAGTGAACATTACAACAGGCCTTGTATAAGTATGAGAGACATGCTTGATTTGTTACCTCTGTGCATATAACAGATCAAGGATTATTAAGATGAAATCATCAGCGATATCTTGTTCCCCTTAAATGTGTGAATCAGCAAAAGCAAAAACAATCATGAAAGTTGCAATAGAGATCAACAGATAGTTTCAAGGGAAATATTGTTGAATTAATTCAATGTTATCTACTCTAGAGACAGCAACAATCATTTGAGGTTTTCATCATGGGATGTTATTAGTAACAGATATAAGAACTGACAGAATTATAATGTTTTCAGATATTGTGTAAAATAATTTCTGAGAAAAGTCGTTCTTTCATTACAAAAGTTCAGATCTCACCTAAAGTTGACTTGACAGACTACCTTAAGAAAGAGAGTATCATGGTTGAAAGCTATCCATTGCTGAAAATTTAGCATACAAAACATACAGGAACTAATGATACAAAACACAAATATTTATGTATAAAACATAAACATTTAATAAAATATAATGCATTAATGCTATGACAATCTTAATAACATATGTTATATATGCTGTATATTGTAATAGTTATGTACGTCATATTCAAGTAGGAATGTCATTTTTAGAGTGTTGAGACTTTGATCAATTGTTAGTCTTTTTGTCTTCTTTTTAAGTGGCAGGGGTTAGGTTACTGAAATAAAACTAGAGGATCAGTTGAAGCTGTCAAGCTGTAAACAATGTTGAAATGGTCAAACAAGCATGACTCACTGTGTTTTTAGACTCATCAGCTGCTCCCATAAGGTGAAATCCTTTAAAGCCATGGTAGATGGCTAGAGTGTGGAAGTTGCCTTTCATTATCCAAACACTCTTTCCCCTTGGGCCTATTGGTTTTGGGCCTATTGGAGTTTTCCCTTTTCACACCTTCAGATTTGCAGCACAACCACCTATTTTTTTACTCACTCACTTAGGCCTCATTTCAGACTTTCATCACATCCTAAGGATAATACATGCAAAAACATTACAAAACTTAAACTCGTCCTCCGAATAGGCCATTGACTCATGGAAATGTCCATTTGGTTTCATTTCCACCAAAATGGGAGAAAACAATTCCTTTTAATTGATCTAAGTCTTATAAGCATTACAGTATACCCGCCTCTCACTCCTCCTCCCTCCCAACCTTTGTTCTCCCGCTACATTACCTTTGCCTACTGCCCTGTCTCTCTCACACCTGAAGAAGGCTCCACGGCCGAAACGTTGTGTTCTCTTTCTTCTTTTTTTCAGCATGGAATAAACCTATTACTTGTTCCTTTGCAGCCTACGCATGCTGACGCAGCTACCCACCTGAACTACAGTATGTGCTTGTTTTGTTTTGCCAGTGCGGCTCAAATTCGAAATTACTCTGATTTGAAATATGTGCGTCTGATAGAGTTACCCATTTTCAATCAGGAAACCCTGCTTGAACATCACTGTGTAAACTCTACTTGATTTTTTTTCTAAAACCCAGTTTTGTGAAGGAGGCATGTGTTTGTCAATAGTTGCATTAGTAAATAGCATACAGTACATAAAATCTTTCTTTTACATAAGTTCAAAGAATTACTAAGTTTTGCTTCTAGTTATTGAGCCTTGCCAGATGTTGAAACCATTAGCATTATGGAGGTTGATTATACTATACTGTACCTCCATAAAGCAAACAACTTGGGTAGTACACAGAGGTACAGGGAAGTGTAATACCATCCATGCTTATTGCATAGCAGACGAATGACACAACAATTATGAAAACTGGGAAAATTCTATGAAAATCTACTAAAACTGCATTTTGGCGATTTTGCTTCATAGTTTCCTGACCAAACATATCCCAAAAGTCAGCAACAGGTCACTTACCACCGAGAATATTTCTTAAATATCTTTTTGTTTCCATATGTGTTGCATTTGCGTATATGAAATTAAGTAGATTTTGCACGGGAGCAAAAACCTTTGAAACGCCTGCCCCTCACATGTAGCATTTCTGCCAATGAGAACAATATCGACCAGAACAGTTGCTAGGTGGCAAAAGCACAGCAGGAACACTACTTGTTGGTTGTGGATGGCTGCAAAGCCTCTTTATTACTGTAAATCATGTATAGGATGATATACACTGGCAACAAAATTGAAAATTGTGCTAAAAGCTTTTCGCCATTCAGACATGTACCATATACCATTGTTGATGTAAGTGCATTAGGTCTCCTTTGAACATGGTGTTTGAATAAAAAGAGGGAAAAGGGAAGAAAATAGATGAATCTGTGGTCTGAATTGAAATCCAAGTAAGAGAAAGTCAGTTTTACAGAGGCTTGTTCTATAGCAATTACACCCATAACTAAAGTCCTTACAAACCCATTAATGTTTAACTTTACCATGACATTGGCATTAGAGGGAAGCTTTAATTTACTGTGGATTATTATGTTTTCTGCTGTGTTTGTATTGCTATTCTAAACCCAATAATGGTTTCCTGATCTTGGGATTCTACAAATACAACACAAAATTAAATTTAGTGAAATAAATTTCAATCAGGAGATCTTGTTTCCTTCTGGGTAGATAAAGCAAATTTCCTCTATGCCAAGAAGATACAAGTCTGCTTCCTTTCTTTCTTGGTTGATTTGTGTGTTTCAAGTTGATTTAATGCATTTATGTTTTAAAAGAGAGGGTTCTCTCTGAATAATAAAAAAACTTAATAATAAAGGAAGATTCAAAGAGAATTTGTTTCTGAAATGAAGACCAGAAAAATAATTAGTTTTTATTTCTCAATACCTCTTTACATGTGAGACCATAGATTATAATGGGAAACCAACAGGGTTATTAATTAACTCTGTGAAATTTCTTGTTTTGTTACAATCAGTTCTGTATGGACTCCCCTGCTGAGTCCAAAACAATACTCCTGTCCCCATCCCACATGCTCTTTCTAACTCTTAACACTTGGAATAGTATAATATATTTAAACTGTTGTAGAAGGTGAAAGAGTGATCAGCTAATCTGCTTCTATATATGAGACATTTTAATTGTTTATTGCTTCATATTTTTATATGTTTTGTAATGCTCCAGGACTGTTGTATTCATCTAAAGAGTTTGGCTGCAGCTTTTACTGTTGTAGCACTGAAAAAATGCTTTGCATTATTTTCTTACCTCCGTTGTATGCTCCGTTGCAATATGATTTTCTATCTCTGTCTTGGAGATTGCAATATATTTTTCAACTCTGCCAGTAGCTTGTATATATATTACACTATTTTCCTGTCTTTGAATCTTGGGGCCTTTATACAATCTTCTATTTTTTCTTTAACATTACATTTTTTAAAAATATAACCATATTTCTTCCATTAAGTCTAAGACAGTTCTGCTTCATTCCTTCATAGTATTTTTTGTAAATACATAAACACTAATTTTAGACTCAAGCTTTAGATTCAAAATATACATTAAATGTTAACATATTCCACAATTCCCCAGTTCCACAGTGGTATTATCATATCTTGATCTGATGGAATCACAGGACTTTACGTTAGTTTTAGATACAGTAATAATTGTTACAAGAGAAATAACTGATAATAGAAAGATCTGAAAATGGCTGGTAACCTTAAGCTGATGAGCTTGACAGTAAGTTTAAAATATATTAAAATAAGTTTAAATCACAGCCATTTCCACATACAGTACAAATTTGACATTATCAGTAATAATGATGCAAGGAAATTTGTAAATATAAATATGCATACAGTATAAAGAGGGGAGAAGTTATGAGTATAATATAGTAAATACAGTATTACAGAATTTCTGTTTATGGTAAACTGTGCAGTTACAATAAACCATTTTACAGCAGAACTAATACATTTGGCATTTTTTTGTGATATTGCATACTCTGCTCATCATTCAATTGTGATAGACCTCGGTGACTGCATATAGGCAGCACAAAGTGAAACAATTTGAAAATATTTGAAAAGCCAAACACCATTTTCACACATGGTAGACTTTTAAACTGTTGTTATTAATATTATTGTGGTAAAAATACATTTCCCAGTGAAATCATGTCAACAAAACTTGATAGTTTTTTCGGGGGCTGGGTGGTTAAATGAATTCTGCCATTCAATACTGTATGCTCTGGCAGAGTCTGCTCTGGTCTGCTGCTTTGGCCCAGTCTGTAAAAGTCACATTATATCCTAAAGTCTAAATTCTGGCTACAATATGCTAAGTAGGAACTGTGTGCAAACTCTGCTTTTAATTTTCCATTTTTTTCTAGTCCTATATTCTTAGTCCCCAAGGTCCAATTCCGGAATGCACCTGCTCACCTGTCCCTTTCCATCTAACGGGACAGCCTCCCTCGACTATTCCCCGTCCGTATCCACCTCCCCGCTCAGCACGCAGGCGTGGTGAGCAGTACCGCAGGCAGGGGGCGGCAACATGGCGGAGAGAGCGGTGGTGCCTTCAGTACGACAACACTAGCAACTGCACCGCTGCTGGCTGACATCTAGAATCCAAATTAAGGGGAAAAAGATAGCACGTACTGCTAATCATTTAGAAAACAAACCTCACCTGCAAGCAGCTTGCTTTTGAATGCACAGACTGGGGGAGAGGGTGGATTTTCAAGAAAAGCAGAATTTTCCCCCTATATTATTATTCCAGAATTTTCTTTTTTTTCTCTCCTCTCTCCTTGATGCTTTGGCACAGTCGGGGGTAATATAGAAGCAGGTGAGACTGCGGCCGCTTCTTCGGATTTGGGTGGAAATGTCGAGCGAGAAGCTGGTTTCAGTACCGGGTTCGGCTTCGCTCTCGGACCGAGAACCACCCCCGGGTCTTGGGCAGCAAGGGGCTACGGGTTCCGCTACCGGGGAGGTGATGGTGTCTGGTTCGGGTTCGATGGTTCTGCCGGCCGGGGTGATCAACCCCTCGGTGCCGATCCGGAATATCAAGATGAAATTCGCCGTTCTCATCGGTCTGATCCAGGTCGGCGAGGTTAGCAACAGGGACATTGTCGAGACGGTTCTGAACCTGGTAAGAACAACACAGAAACCCTACAATGCATACTGTCTGTTTAATTGCATGTATTATTAAACACTGTTCCATTTTATATGTTGCCAATGGATGCGGTATCGTATCATGTTGTTACTGTGTATTTTGCAATTTAACAGGGAGATAAACGCAAACATTCTGATTACAGACAAGATGAGATAATACATTAGGCGCAATAGCAAATTTTCTCTTAGAGGGCAATATTTGCTATTGGAGGGCACTTCAGGATTACAATCCCTGACTTTTGTCCGTTAATAGTGGCAATATTACTGCGACAATTATTTTAATTTGCATAATACTGAAGGCAATTCCTTTTGTTCGTTTCCGTCACAGTTTACCTGGGAACGTTGTACGAGCTTGTATTTTTTTTGCCTCTGAATACAGAAGCACAATCAGAAGTATGCAACTATATGACGTTGCCATGGGATTTTGATTCAGAAAAATCCCAAAACGTTCCGATAGCTTCTGCTTGCCACGGGAAGTTTAAAGACCCGATCATCTTTCTTTTGCAGAAAACGAGTGGACAGCTAATTTTGTTTGCCTTCTCTGTCGTTAAGTCATTTTGCTTGAGGTGGCTTTAAAACAAAAGACGAAGAGCATCCGTGTGGTATTTTTTATTATCCCTGCAAGTTCCTTTTTGTGTATCATTAAACAGTATGCGTATATACATATAACCCAGTCCTAGTTGTTTAACTGGTGCTTTTACAGCGCTGCACGATGCTGCCCAGATGAATATTGTAGCTCCTACCCCTTTTTGTCTGCATCGTTAGCTAAGTGTTCAGAATTTTGCCTTCTGTTGCGTTTGACCGGGTACAGACTGAAGCAAAGGAGCTGCGCTTACACGCAGCGAATGGAGATGGATTAAAGCAGTTTTCAGTGTTCGTGTGGCTGGGGATGCGGAACAGAGCACACATAATAACAGAGGGCCAATGTGCACGGAGAAAGATTAGGCTGGAAAGTGTTATTTTCCGATCAAATATCTGTCACATTTGTGTGAAGCAGGTTTTCTGTTCAGTAGTGATCACATCGTCCACGTTTCAGTATTGCGGATCCACTGGGGTCATTCAACTCAGCTGGCGGTGGTGGTTTATCCGTGCAGGCAGCATAAGTGTGTCAAAACGCACGGTGTTGCAACAAAGTAGTGGCGTTTATAGTTGTAATTGACTGGTTCTCTCGCCTTTGTGTCCAAAAAATAGCATCGCACCTTTTGAAGTGCGAGTCTGTTGAATGTTCTTGAGGAGGGCCCCGGAATGTTTTAGCAGTGTATATTATTGCATTGAGATCTTTATTCGGGATGGGGGGAAGGGATAAGCCTGCCTTTTCTTTCATGGCGCTCGCTTTCTCGAACCCATCGTAATCAAGATGCCCAGACTGTGTAGGTTACGCCGTACGGTGTCTTAAATAAGATGTTGCAGTATTAAAAACCACGTAGTGCTCATAAACGTGTACAAATGAGGGTAGTACTAGCGCCTTCATTGGCAGGGAACCGCTCAGAATGTGAAAACAGTTGGTGGGGGACGTTGCTGCAGTGGTAATGTATTCAGAACCAGCCAATACTTAACAGATGGGCTTGAAGGAGATTGCAATAATAAGACAAGACTGTGCAATGCCCGGAGAAATTGGAAAAAAAAACTTATACTGTATGTCCAAATCATTGTGAGAATCGAACATTACGCGATACCGGCTTTGTTGGTGTTTGAGAACATGTCTGATACTTCAGTCTTGGGGAGGGTCCCGTGTTTTGTTCGTATGTCCCAGAAACCACAACCTGTGTCTTGGTCCTGCATTATTGATTGAGGCCGAATGCTCTTGAGGAGTGGTTTCTATGGAAGGCAGTGTTAATTAATAGCCTATTCGATTTAAAGGGTACAGTACATTTCGAAAAAGAAATCTGTTAATTTTAATCACGCGCTGTATAAAGGTCGTCTCACGTGTCCATAATGTTACACAATGCCAGGCTAAGCAAAAATTTGGTACTGTAAAAGGGTAAATAAAAATAACTTATTATTCTTATAAATAAACCCTTTTGTGCTAGACCTAACCATACTCAAGTCCAATCACAGAACATTTTTTTTGCACTGAACTAAATAACAAAATGAAAGTCACTGTCTTAAAGTAGGCTAAGCATAAATCTCACGAGCATGAAACATACTGTATTTAGCACTTGGTAAAAATACACATTTTGAAATAGTTTGTACAGTACTGTACATCCACTGTGGAAAATAAAATATTTTTCAATGAATATTGTATTTACTTTATGATAACACTTTAAGCAGTGGTATTGAGCATGATAAAATACTTAATATATATTCTCAGTGAATTAGAGAGGCCAGAAATTTGAAAGTATTTGGCATAATGTTTGTAAGTTAGATTCATTTCAGTAAAGAATGGTGTACACAGTTTGCCCTCCAAAAAATAAACAGTGTTAAACTAAACGTTTACAGTGAAGTTCTTGGGAGGTTCATGAAATGATTACAAGGAGTATTAACATTCATAAACTACAACTAGTATTTTTTCCATGGTTGCCATAATCATGTAGACATACAGTATGGGCTTCAGTATTTTGACTGCTGACTTATTTCTTCAGCCTGCATTTGCCACCTCCTCCTGAGAATTAACAGGACTCTGTTGACATGGCTGGTTTTAAAAAAATGGCTGGAAGACAAAAGTTTTTGAGTGGCGCGGGGTCTTTACAGTCAGCACACCTTGGGGTCTTGATTTGATTCCAGGCCGGGGAGCCTTTCTGTGTGGGGTACGCATTTTCTTGTGGATTTCGTCCTGGTGCTCTGGTTTCCTCCCATATCCATAAGACATAAAAGTTGGGCGAGAAAAGAATCGGGGAAGAAGATAACTTTGAAAGAAATAATACGCCTCAAAGCCTCTTAGCTTTATTTTCCAAACAGTTAAGACAGCCCGGGTGCCTTTTCTCTGTCGAAAAGGAGAATAAGTAACATATTCATCCATGTAATGTGGTACAAACACATTAGCATAGTATGGCTCAGTGTGTAGTAGTGAAAAAAGGTGATCTGAAGGAACCTTAACAGCCATTTAGTGGGATTTAGCCCGCTACTCATCTGTAGAAAGCTACAGCCTTTTCTAAACCAACACAAACAGACAAAGGAAACAAGTGTAATTCAAGCCATGACCAAGTCAGGGAGAAGTGTTATCTCCACAAGAGTTAAGATTATTGATCTTGATCCTAATTACCTCTAAGTACAGCAAACAGGTGTTGTCCTCCTATAAATATTTATGTATTCCACCAGACCGAAAGATTTTTTAGAGACTGAGTTTTTGTTTTGCAGTTAAAAAAAATGAATTAAAATGAAGAGATGAATAAAAGTTGGAATGACAGGGCTGTGACAATTAAGATGGAAATGAGGTTTAGGGGTGTCTGCAGAGAATCCCCTCTGTGTTACCAACCCTTCTCCCCGGTGAAGCTGGAGCTGGGATGTTGTGTTATGGACCAAAATGAGTTGGGTGTCCAGTTCTGGTTTTGAAAGTACACTGGCATGTTTGGCTGCCATTGGTTTTATTTAGAATCCAACTCTGTTCATATTCTAGTTTTAGTTTTTTTCAGTTTTTGAATTTAAATGCAAAGATTGCTTGTAAAGATGATATATAAAATAAGTTTAATAAGTTTCTAATTATTATTTGGTGTGGATAGGAAGATTTCTATATTTTCATTTAAAAAAAAGAAATTGAGATAGTATTATTTCATTATGAGGGCAACAGCCCTCTTAACTGAAACGTTGTCTAGACAGTTGTGATTGCACTATGTGCAGACAGCTGGAAAACTGTATTGTAACAGCATTATGGTTTTAACTATGTTTATCCATTTGAGTTAATTGATTTATACATAAAAAATATAACATATATGGAACCTGCAGTTTCCGTGTTATAGTAACTTTAGCAGCTGGAAGATCTTTTAAAGTATTATTCTTTTCCAGACCAATTGCGTAGCTTGAAGAGGGTGCTATTTGTGCTAGAAACGTCTTGCCTTTACCCGTTGGAAACCAGACATTGAGTTGTGCCTTTGTATTTATTTTCATTGTTTAGTTTGAATGCTTAGTCATGGAATTCCAAACTTAACAACAGATGGCATTTTTGGATTATCCACTCATTTGTAGGCCTATATCCTTTTTTTCCCTTTCTTATGTTGTGATACAATATGTATCCTCGAACAAGTAGCCCCTGTTGTGTATACTTTGAAAACTGGTAGTTTTCACTGCATTCCCCATGTGTCTCACAGTTTAAAGGTGCCTGTAGCAGAACAATGTATCCCTATTGAAAGCTACAGTACAGCCTTCTTTAAACCAACACATAGATTTTGTTTAGAAAAAAACAACAGGATGTTTATAAACATGTTAAATAAAACCAAAAAAAGGAAGTAAACTTGATACTAGTAGTAAAAAAGCAGCTGTTTGTGAATCTTAGCCATTTTGTGATGCATTGTCCATATTTTAAGTGGTTTGTATGCATCAATAAGTACAGTAAGTAAGCAAATAGGGTAGAAGGCAAATCAGCAAGTCTCCTGAATCTGTTCTGTTGGAGAAAATATTGCATGTGATATATTGTCCGATATCATCAGACAGGAATATCTTTCAGAAGGTACGGGCTAGAATCTGACCCTTTTGTGTCGCATCTTCAAGCTTAAACGGCACCGTCTAGGTATAGAGGTATTTTTCAAGCTTCACTAGCCTACCCTGCTGGACTGAGCAATAGGTGGTGTGACAGGTTGTGCTCACCGATGACGCGACTTCGCAGCACGACCACTGTAATTAGTCTTCCAGGTGGCGGTGGTAATTGAGCGGCCGCCACCTACCAGCTTTTCTCCCGTAAGGTGCACGGAAGGGGATCGAGTCACTGCAAGGCCTTAAAGCAAGTGGCAGTGTTTTTGAAATCCATCTGAAGGCGCAGTGCACTCCTGCAAATGCACAGAACGCAGTACTAACATTACGTGCTGGTTTGGAGTACTGCCAGAA